ATCATTGAACCAATCATACCATTCCCTGCACAAAACCTTGATGTATGTCACCAAACTCACTTCCTTGTTTCTGGTTTTGAAGCATGTTGTGAAGCTGCACACATATGTGACTATGTGACTGATTTTAAAGATCAGCTCTACCTGTGCGAAGACAGAGCAGAGGAGCATAATCGCTTGATCTATTTCCCTATAAGATTTGAAGACTGGGTCACCAACTGCACTGCACTGGATTTATTCTCACTGGTACATGTTGCCATTGATTTTTAATGAATTACGTATATAAAAAAAGATTGCGGCAACTTTTGCAATTTTTATTTGCTCCCAAAGTTTCATTGCAAAAAAAGAAACATCTAAAATCATCGCAATATTTAAGAAATCATCACAATTTTTAAGACAAGCTGCTGCGAAAATCATGTATTTTAGCCCGCAACTATCCCAAAAAAATCCTGGAGGGACTGGTATATGATTTCCTTTGATTCTATTTAAGGGCAGACGACTAAAACATAAAATAGGGTATCTTAAACGAGCAAAAAAAAACCTTTATAAACTGAAAAGAGGAGAACACTGACAGAATTTATTGTTCAGTGTACACTTTTGCGTACACTTTTTAATATGCAGCATTTTCTGGGCTGCCAGCATGGTTCATTGTAAACAGGAACAGATGAACCTCAAGTGACACTTTGGATTTAAGAGGCAGAACCCAAGTAACCATTATCATTTATTAGACTCTAAATTGGGATATTCAACCTGCTCATTATCTGCATAGTATCCCAGCAGGACAGAAGACAGAGTTAGTGCAATGACTGGTTTAAGGATGTGCAGCTTTTAAAATGGAAACTACCGGTAACATCTTTGTCACACATTTCCAGAGTGGAAGTACAAGTTACTTAGACTTTCATTTCAAGTGTGCTGAACTTTCTTGTAACTGTGGAACAAAAAGTACAAAAGAGTTCCCAACGAGATTCATAATATAGCCTCTGTTCAGCCAGATTGTTTCTCAGCTCACCACACACTACCAAATTTATTTTTTACCTGAATCAGAGCCAATCCTGCCAGAGCAACATCAGTGGTGATTAAAAAAAAAAAAAAAATGCATATGTGTATATGTTGTAGGTACACACACACTGACACGTTGCATATATGCACACTCAGAATATATATTATTTATAGTACAAAGATCTGAAATATGGAAATACTGAGTCTGAAAATAGCATTCTGCTCTGAGAGGAAGAATGAAAAGTTTTAAGAGTAATGAGGGGATGAAAAATGGAATGTGGAGGTAACATGCACACACGCACACACACACACACACGCACATACACACACATGCACAGATATCTCATGTGTTATGCCTGGCCATTAGTCAAAGCTGTCACTATACATACTAAGCCAAGTCGTTAGTGTGGCCACTGTCAGGTGTGCTTGAGTGGTCATTAGTGTGAGAGAACATGGTATTTCTGTAAGAGGATAATAAGAAAGTTCTTCGTCTTATTTTGTGTTTGCATTTTGTTTCTTTTAAATTCTGCTGAAGCTGGTGCTAGACATGTTCTTCTTACTTGATTGTGCAGGGAGGTGAATGTATATGAATAATCTTAAATTAGTTACAAAGTTACATACATTATTTTATGTTAAGGAGTCATTGTTGTTTATTTTGAATATTAGTAATGGCAAAATATTGGACAAAATATAATTAATACCACAATCAGGGTGGACATCAGTTTTGAAAAAGGACGTCAGTGTTTTCCCAAATGGATAACACAAACCTTGATTCAACCACCTAAGGACATGGACAAATTTTGCAAGTACTAAATTGTAAATTGCCCTCAGAATACTTGTCACTTTTGGACAATGAAAAGACATAAATCATCTTGAATAATTTACCAGTGATGCAGACATTGCTTTCCAATCGGAAAAGAAATGCTCAGAAAATATTAAATATTAACGTGTTTTTTAAACAAACATTTAAGCAAATAGAAAAAGTCCTTCCTGCAAATTCATTTTGCTTGGTCAAGGTAACAGTTCTGAGCTGTGTGTTTCAAACACTTGTTGTGAATGAACTGTGCACTGTACAGGGAACTCCAGTATAATGGCAATATGATGGTGCAGATACAGAGTGCTTTGACTAGAAAGGATTATTTTAGAGAAGTCCATCAACAATGTCAGATTTGACCTGAAGACAGACACTGAACTGGAGATGCACTGTTTTGTAAACACTAATTTCTTTTATATCTTCTTCTGTGTCTGTTATGACATGTGACTTAACATGGATTTTGAGCTGGACTTGACTCTGTTGATGCATGGTGTGTCTCCTGACAGTATCTTACTGTTTGTAAAGCTGCACTGCCCATTGCAATACTACATTCAGCACATACAATGCTGTATACAGTCATTGTACTTCAGCTGTACTGCCTCCTATTGTACACTTTTACTTAATTTAGTATTTACCTGTTACTTTATTTAGTACTTACCATGACCTCATGTTTTAATGATTTCCTCTCACAGCATGCTTGGTCACTTGTTCTACATTGTCTAGATGAACTAGAACTATGACTTTAAGTTTATTTTCGTATCAACCATTTTGCATGCATCAAAAATATGACGTTATCATTTTCTTGTGTAAATTTTTCTCATTTTCCTTTTATTGAAAAAAAAAACAAAAAAAAAACTGTCTAGGTCTGACAAACTGTCTTGGTGCTAGCATCACATCAATATTCAATTTCAAGTATTCTGTGTCACTGTCTGCCTGCCACAGATGTGTATCTGGTATCTACAGTATATACAGTATACAGTATATGTGCTCTGAGATATTTTTCAGACAGTCAAGGGCAATGTGACAGAATCATTAGGAAAAAGTGTTTGTGTGTGTTGGAAGATAAGTACTGAGCTGTCTAAATGTCAAGGGTGTGTAATTAAAGGAAACCTGAGTGCTGTCAGTAGGTGATGACTGCTACTGGGAACAGTGGTTTGCTCCATATTCAGGCATAATTGCAGACCATAGGGCTCCTCGAAGGGTGGGTGTGTGCACATTTTGTGGCAGAGGTTGGAGGATGATTGCTTTGCACTGTTCGATATATCTGTGACAGGTTTGTGTGTGTGTCTCTGTGTCAAATCCACAATGAGACATACTCCAAACCAAACCACAGGAAACAGTAACAGGTGATACAAGTTTTCCTCACCATCATTCAGTTTATCTTCCTTTTCCTCCAAGGCTACAGTTGCTATTTAACATCACACAGAATATGTTTGTGTCTCCGTTTGCCTGTAAATTGACAACAGTATCGCTGTATATGTGTGTGTGTGAGGTTGTATCGTCGTGCACATGTTGTGCTTGACTCCTTTTCCTCCCACTGTGTCTATAATGAAAAGCTAAATGGCCCAGGTTAGCAATGATTAAAGATGGACGGCTACCTAGGAGGAGAAGGAGAAAACAGCGGTCGGGAAATGACAGTTTGAGGTAAATGACAGCTCTGCTATGTTTAGGATAAATGGATCGTGCAGCTATATTCAGCCTACGCCATCCATTATTCAGAGTACCACCGACAAGACAAATCCCCAGTAACTCAGATTCCTCTGTAGCAGTGGTAGTGCAAGTGCAAGTTTTTAACCAGGTGACACGATTCACCCGTTTCCCTTTTCAGATCCCAATTTCTTCAACTGGGATCCATTACATGTTCACATCAGCAATTGTGCCTCTGTGTGTAGCTTAATTATTAGCAATTCATTAATGACTAAGACTGTAATGACATTGTTATGGAAGCTATTATATGTTGCCTGTTTTTTTTTATCATCGCTTCCCCCTTCGTGGGGAAACAGCGTGAAGTGGTGAGCCAAGCTCTCATTTGTTCCATGGAGGAGATATCAGTGTATGTGTGAGTGTGTGTATGTGGATGTGTGTTTGTCTGCATTTGCATGTAGATTATGTGACATGCGCTATATGTCCTTGTGTCTGCACAAGTGATATTCATGCATGAATGTGTGTCATGGGTGATACTGTAACAAGTCTGACAGTGTTCTGATAACAGATGGGTGAACGGGTCATTTGTTATTCATAATGAGCATGTGTCTGTTATGCTGTGGACCTGTCAGTTGTGTGATGTAATAAGGGGACCCCAGAAATGCCACATTTTGTGGGTAATTGTGTGTTACATTGTAAGACATTTCCCTGAGTGTTACAGACAGTGCAAGGTGACACTGTGACTCAACCTTTTGTTTCCTTCACTATCATTCAATTCTTTCCAGTATTTAGAAATTATGTGCAAAGTGTATGTGTTTTTGGCCCACTGATTTTGGCAATCCCCTTGACTTTTCCTCTAGTGCCACCATGAGGTTAACATTTTTTGTTTTTTATGCCTCCGCACCGGCGACAACTAGAGGCATCATGTTTTTGGGTTGGCTGTTCATCCGTCCCATTCTCGTGAACACTCTCAGTAACACCTTAAGAGAATTTCTTCTTCTTTGGTACAACATTCACTTGGGCTCAACAGTTACCTAATTAGATTTTGATGGTCATAAGTCAAGGTCACTGTGACCTCACAAAACATTTTTCTGACCTCTTGAATGTAATATCTCAAGACCACCTTGAGGGCATTGCTTCAAATTTGGCTCAAACGTTCACTTGGACTCAAGGATGAAGTGATTAGAATTTGGTGGTTAAAGGTCAAGGTCACTGTGACCTCACAAAACACATTTTTGGCCACAACTCACAAATTCTTATGCTAATTATGACACAATTTAACACAAATGTTTTCATAGGATAAAATTATGTGATGACATGTTATATCCAAATGGTCAAAGGTCAACTTCACTGTGACATCATGATGTTCAATCATAATGTTGGAAAACACTTCTGGCTATTATTCAGTGCTGTAACTCAGGAAGGGGAGATTGTGACCATATTTCCTGCAACTTGACTGCTTGGTGGAGGCACATAACCGCAAGGTGGTAATGATATGTGAATATAGCCATGTAAACCAAAACATTCTCCTCTTCTCTCTCTGTAGGATTCCCCTCCACCCAACCGTTACAATGTGAGTCAGACATTTGAGAAGTCTAATGGCCACTCTTACTTAGAACCCCGAAGTGAAGGAGCCAAGAGACGACAGAGCTGCTTCCTCTCTGCTGCACCGCGGGACAGTTTCTTCAGAAGATGTGACCCCAATGTGCCAGGTGTCACGCACACAAACACGCACTTAACATCTATCTGTCTATCTATCTATCTATCTATCTATCTATCTATCTATCTATCTATCTATCTATCTATCTAATGATCCTTGTCAGTGCTGAACATTTGGAAACTGTACAGCTCCACCCCTTAGCCATCATGCAGTACAATTAGCTCCATCTCTGTGGGCCTCTAACCTAATATTTACCTCAATTACACTCCCATTGAAAAATGTTGTTTCAAAATTGATAGATTCATGACTTACTTGGATAATTTATGACTAGCCCCATTTCACCAAGGGACTCAACCCATGAGGCACCCCAAACCGTTTAACCAAAATCCAATTTGCATATAAATAGATTTGGACTGTTTGCAGTAGTGTTTCTTCTTCATACACCCAGGCACGCATACACACACACACACACACACACTGAAGCAGATATGTACACACAATCATATACACACACACAGAGACTCAGACACACATTGATATCTGCACACATACAATCATTTTGCCCATTATTGAATTTGCATTTATGAATAGGCATACAGTATATGGAACATTAGGGAACATTACATTCCTCATCATGCTTGGGTCCCTTGCGATCACATTTCAGATAATGGTAAGAGCATTTAACTATTGAACATATTTGAAACACACACATAGACACAGATACACACACATGCACAAATGAATGACAGCGTTACTCATAATGGTCTGTGACATTAGCAATTGCTCAAGGTGTTTTTAATATGCGAGTGTCTTGGTTTTGTGGTGTATGTTTGTGTGTAACTTTGAAAGTCACCCTCCTTTTCTGCAGTCATAAGCTGATTGCATTTAGCTGCCAGGTCAGACAAGCAGCTACTGCTGTATCACTGTAAAACCATGTTAGACTGGTGATGGCTTCTTTTCCTTATCTTAATTCTTATTGCACTGACTACGATCTGCAGCCCTGGGGTCCATTACACGTTTTCAAAATCAACTATAAAAGTTGTTTCGGTAATTCCTGAAAAGTTGGCAGTTGAGGTTTCAAATAAAAAAAGTATATGGAAACATTGTTCTGTAATGGTGAAACCCCTGAGGCTTAACCTGAGGCTTAACTTAACTTACTTTAACTTTCAAGAACAGTTTTTGTATTTCAGAATTCAATGTTAATATTTCTTTAAATGAAAATGGACTTGTAAAAGTTTTTTTTTTTTCTACACACAGCGTGTGTTTGAATGTGTATATGCATGGATCTCTGTACGCCAGCTTGTGTGTTTGTGTTTGGGGATTTTTTTCCCCCAAGCACCTCACTGTGGAAAAGCATCGCAAAACCCCTGCAGAGTTTTTGGTTGACACACAGAGGACTGTGTTTTTGCCACATCTGGGCTCTGGTCAGCAGGGCAGTTCAGTATTCTGGAAGCCTGAGCTTTGATCATAGTACAGAGAGTTCAGGTACATTACAGTGCAGCTCATGATAGAAACCCATGACAGATTAATACTGTACTGCTGTAACTTTTTTCGTGGAAAATCTAACCCAGCCCTCAATGTAATACTTGAAATCTTTTAAAAAAAAACATACCAGTGGTGTAAATTATGTATTAGCCAAAAACAAAACTTTTGACAAGAAAAAACTTTTACAAGATATGTCTAAAAACCTGTGATTTCCTTCAGATATGTTTGAAATGGAGTTAGTGGTCATAAGTGTGTGTGCGTGTATGTGTGTGTGTGTGTGTGTGTGTACGTTCATTAGGCCCTGGCCAGTACAACCCCAGTGTGAAATCATTCCCTCAAATGGCTCTGATCTCCTCCAGAGAAGATCGATTCAAGGCATCCATGAACACAAACCCTGGACCTGGCACTTATCAGGTAAAGATGATGTTAAAGTTATATTTCATCCTTGTGTGTGTGTGTGTGTGTGTGTGTGTGTGTGTGTGTGTGTTTGGTGCATGCACGTGAGGCTGTATGTCTGACATTATCTTATGTTGTAATCCTCTGAGAATCTATCATATTTCTCTCTGTGACCTTGAGCTGTGCAGAAGAAATTGATTGCTTTGTAAAAAAAAAAAAAAAAAAATTCAAACTTCAATAAGTTTCTGTTGTTTCACCCAATCTCTGTTTCTCCACTGATGCAACACACGGTTGAATGATGCAGTTTCCTGTTCAAAGCAGCTTTTCACTTCGTGGGCGAATTTGTTCTTAATTGACCTGACTGATTAAATTAAACAGGGAAAAGTGAGTGCAGTTTTATTAAGTGCAATGTTGTTTAATGCAACCACCTCAGACTACTGACAGAGACAAATGCACTTTATGGATGAAGCATAAAACAGTTGTAATGAAACCCAACCAGAACCTAATCTCTCTCTGCTCCATTTCTGTGTGTTTTAATAGGAATTACAGCTTTGGGTTACAGCTACTGGTGTGTGTGTGTGTGTGTGTGTGTGTGTGTGTGTGTGTGTGTGTGTAAGATGATTGAAAGAGCTAATGTTGCTTCCAGTCCCAGCTGACTTTGACTGGTGAACATCAAAGACAAAACCGCAAGAGTTTGATTTAAACCTCGCTACACAGTTCATCGTCATGTTCATGTCCATGGGTGTAATGTTATCACAGAGCTCTTTCTTCTCTTTCTCTCTGTCTGCCTGTCTCCCAGTCGGTCTGCTGTCTCAGTGTGGATTCATCTCCTCAACTTTTCTCTTCTCCTCTCTCTTACAGTTCACTGTCTCTTTCTCTCTTCTGACTGCCTTTGCCTTTTTCCACTTGTTTTCCTCCTCCTCCTATTCTCCCCAGTTCCATTTGCAGCTGTTTGGATTTCCATTCCTCTTATCTGGGTACTCACATTATGATTATTGGGCTGATTATTTGTTGCCCGTCACAGACATGTAGATTATTTTAAACATGTTTAATTTTTATGACGGGATTTGCAACCTCTAAAAGAGTGTCATAGGAGGAATAGCCATTAAGAGACAACAGCGTTAAAACAAACACATCAAGGAATTTACCTTTTTAAAGCTCTCAAACAATACAAGCAGACACAAAGGATTCTGCTGGGAGAACTAAACCAGCCTTAATAAATACACAAGGACATTAAAGACAACGAGGAGGTGGAGGGAGCTGAGGGAGCAGAGAGTGTGTACATGAGCGTGTCACCATGGTAATGGTAAGAAACATTATAATGGTCATGCTGTACACCCACTTGAATATAATTGGATATTACCAGTCATATGGTTGCCAAACAGTTACTGAATGAAGAAGCTGATGCTAATCAGGCAATGCAGCCATGACCTATAGGAATGCTGTTGAGTTTTTGACCTCTAGTTTGCGCTATGGGGCGGTTTATCTATAAATGGGTCCCTGTTCTGTGCACATGCAAGAGGATGCACATGTATGTGTACATTGGTTGCTTTTCCACTCATCTACCCGTGGTGGCAGTGCAGAACGCAGCAATGTACTGGCAAAGGCGGGGAAAGAAGAAGACGTCTTGCTTGTAAACTTGCATGTAAACAATGCAGGTTTCAAGCTATGAGGAAGGAATTCATCCTGCATTCATTGTATTTGTTAGACCTGAAGGATAGACATGATGTGTTTTGGTGAGTAATATTTTATGTAAACTTAACTTTTTTTTTTCTTTTTTTTTTTTTGTTTACAAGAAAACTCCATAGGGCACCTGTAAGTGCTGCCTGAGCTAACACTATGCTCCATTCCACCTCATCAGGTTTCAGAGCAGAGCCACAGCTCACTGGAAGTTCACCTTCCCTTATGAAGCTCTGCAGAGAGAACCCATTCAGTTCTCTCTGCGTAGTCTACAGTCTGCGTTGCCTTTCTCAGTCTAGTTTAGCATTTTTTCTCCTTGTATATGCAAATTGTACCATAAAGTTGCAAGACAAACAGTTTTTGACAGATGATGATTTTGATTTATGTGAGAGTGAGAATTCATGTTCTCAAAGGATTTGATTGCTTAAATATGACTGAATGTTACCAATCATCTGGTAGCCAAACAGAAGATGAATAAGAACTGTGATTGTGGAGCATGAACGAAGCTCATCACTTCATTACTCTGCCTGAACTAAAGCTGTCCTTATCAGGTTTCAGTACAGAGCCACAGCTCACCTCAAATTCACCTCACTCATATAGAACTCGCTCTCCTCCAGCTCTCTCCTCTGCTGAGCTCACAGTCCTTGATGTGATGCCTCCATCTCTCAATCCACCATCTCATTGGAATTTTGCTTTTTTTCCTACTTTTAATTGTCTTTTCTGCGTAAACTTCATTATGAAAAGGTTTTTGATAGATTTATGTATGAATGTACCAGCGAGGATTTCTACACTGACAGTAGCTAATAAAACTGTTGAAGTATCTCATAGGATCCTCTACTCTCCTCTTCTCACACAGGGTATCTGAAGTTTAAAAAAATGTATTCAACTAGGGCAGTAAATTAAAAGTGAAATCCTCTACTTCTGCTCATCAAGTGTTTGTCTGTAGGCACTTTAGTCAAACCAGTGGGGAGAGTTAATGTTGGGAGATAATTGGCTTCAGCATAAAAATGGCTTAGGTTAGCTAAACGTTGTACCTGTGTAACTATATGATTAGATACAGCCTGTTTTATGAAAATAAGCTGTTTGCATGTTCCTTCGGCCCTTGCTTGAGCTTCATGTGGGTGTTCCGGTTTTCCCCAAGACATGCAAGTCAGGTGAATTGGAAACTGCGTGTAGGTGTGAACGGATGTCTGTCTGTGTGTCAGACCTTTGATAGACTGACTTCCTCTCTGTCTTTCAAACTCCACACCTCCAGTTTGTAACACAGGCTTTTCTGTTTGAAATTTAATTTTTTTATAAGTATCAAACCAAAACGAAAATTACCCTAATGACATCATCTGGGTAATTTCCTTCAAACTTTGAAAACCTCCTTCCAGACATCATTAAACTGTTTTCAAAGACGGAGTAGCACACCTCTTGTAAATTAAACTAAATGAATACACAAATACACATATGCGTCATACAAACAAAACACCTTTTAATGTTGTTTTGCAGCATTTTCAGTAATGCAACATTTAAGCAAGCTTGTGTCTATATGTTACTGCTAGTGTGCACTGTGGTGCATTGTGCAGTTTTGCTTTTACACCCTCAAGTTTAAAGTTTAAAGACTTCGACATGCTGTGACTCGAACCTTATAGAGACTGATGCCTTGCATTGTGAGTAAGACATCCCATGTCTCAGTTTAGCTTCAGGAGGTTCTGTTCTTGCTTGTTTTCCATGGAATGCATGTCTAAGCTCTTGTCTCAGTAATTAGCTGTGTGACTGTGAATCTATACGACACCACAGGCCATACAGAGTTAAAGATGGTGTGAAGTGGCACGGAATGGGAGGGAGATAAGAGAGTGTGGAAGACAAGCAGAAAGAGAGAGTGGGATGGTAGTGATGCGAGAGAGGCAGGAAGGGGTGAGAGAGAAAGTAGAGATGGGGGGCGTCAGAGGTGAGGCAGTGACAAAAAGGTGGTAGAAAAGCACAGAGGGAGAGAAGCACAGAGACAGACAGCACCAAATCAAGCAGCTTAAGAGGGTAGTTAAATTCAACAGCTGAAAATGTGTTCTGAGGCCCCGCCATCTGAAGCAGACGGCCACGTAATGGAATAGTGGCTATTTCAGCATCAGTGTTTGTGTGTGTGTGTGTGTGTGTGTGTGTGTGTGTGTGTGGGGATGTACGTCCATCCGCACTTGTGTGTGTAATGTCACAAAGCTGTCTACTTGAGTGGCATTAGGCCACAGTGAGGGCTCATTTAGTGTTCCCATTAAATGCACCATGTGAGGTACCTACTTCTGCAAAGTAGCCTTGATTACCTTTCTCACTCACAACACTGTTCTTATTGGTTGAGCTTCATTTAACAGAGAGAGGCGTGTGGATGGAACACGGGAATATAAAAAGACACAGGGAGGCAGACGTCAAGCAGAAACAAATATTAATTAAATGCTGTAATCTTTGCTGCCAAGTGCAAAGCACATACAGAGACAGAGAAAAAAAAGGAGAAGCTCAAGTTTATTTAATGTTCATTATGAGTCAGAACAGAAGGTGTCCTTAACACAGCTGACACTTCATCAAACCTTCATCATGATGTGCTGTCTTTGTCACTACATGTACTTCCTCTGTGTGAGACTTTGAATTCCTCTACTTTAATGCTTTTCATGTGAAGTTTGCATGTCATTTGGAGAATAATTAGATTTGAGTTTGAATGACTATACTGTATGTGTGCGCGAACTGTGGTTCCATCCACAAAATGAACCTAGAATTTAAAATGTGATTTACTTTTTTTCATGTTGTATTTTTTTTTATTATCATTATTTATGGCATTACTTTTAAAGTTTAATTCAGTTAGATTTTATGTGCAAAATTAAGTGCTGACAATGTGGGAACAAAATTGTTTACCTTTTGTGACATAACCTAAAAAGGTAAACTGGACAGTATTGTACCCTAAATTTGAGCTGAACAATCTCTCTTTCTCTCCATTGCATAGATTACCCAAGAATGTCTACATAAGAAAAGCAACAGCATCTGTAGTTTGTTCAGACTCTTTGAGTAACCTGTGTGTTTACATGGTCCTGGTAAGCGACCTCATGAGCGTCCTTTCAGGGAAAGCAAAGGTTGAGGTAGTGTGAAATTGTTCGAACGTTGCAGCGCTCTTATGGAAGAGGCTGTGGTTGATTGTGGTTGGATGGTTTAAGATGTGGTTCACATCCCGTCTTCCACCTACAGTCCAGCCTTTATTAAACCAAACTTACCTACAGAGGTGGCAGATAAGACAGCACTCATATGAACTGGTAATGATGGTTGCTTTGGAAGGTGCTGATGAACAACCTATGTTGTTGCTTAGTGGAGAATATGCAAACATATGCATGCACCTACAGAGAATTAGCATCCTTTACCAATTCTGCATATGTGTTGCATATGTGTATGTGTTGCTTTTCTGAGTGTGTCATGCAGTCTATGTCTGTTGTGGGAAAGACTGTGCATCCAGCAGTCTTTGTTCTGTGCTTGTGTGCACACTTGTACACATGTGCATACATAACCAAGTAACATCACCACCAGCTCCCTGCATATATCCCCTTTTTCCTTCTCCCCTCCTTGACCTAGTGAAACATCCCATAATCTCCTTCAACATTGCCATGCCGATGGTGTCGCCACTTCCAAAGGCTCTTCCATATCTCCCCGACCTCCTGGGCAACCCTGAGGGTGACCTGGAGTTGAACCCGCAACCCTTTTCCCATTAGGATCAATACTGAGATCTGAGGGGCCCCGCCAATGTGCCTAAATCCTGCTGTGGCACCTCTGGCATACTGATGTGCGTCTGTTTGCAGGGAGGTTAGGGGAGGCAGTGAGGGAGAAAGAAAGAGAGAGAGTGCTTTGATGACATAGACGAAGTATATTCCTCTGGCAGTACCTGAGTGGGAGGGATGGTGGAGTGTTTGTGTGTGTGTGTGTGTGTGTGTGTGTGTGTGTGTGTGTGTGTGTGTCTGTCTGTCTGTCTGTCTGTCTGTCTGTCTGTCTGTCTGTCTGTCTGTGAGAGAGAGAATTTCTTTTGTTTTTGACTTTGAATATTTTTGACATGTAGTATTTTTTTTTATGTACTGTTATCTTTTCGTAAGACCTGGAACAGACAGACCCATCATCCGAGTGTGCTGCTGAATGTTAGCTACATGTTTGTGAATTCAACCTCAGTGACCTCTTTCTCTTAAAGCATAGCAGAAAGAGTTGAAGCCCGCTGTTCATGCATTGTACTTTGAGGTGATCATTTTAGTTTAATCCTCTACATTATGTTTGATTTATATCTTATAAATAAATGGTAAATTTAATGGTAAAATGGTTAAATTTCCTTTTCCACTGACACAACAAAAACCCTGTGGGACCAAGAGCCAAACAAAGAAGAGGACAATTAATAAAAGTCTGAAAATCACTGTTGATTTCTTTGTCAAAAATAATATATTTCACTCTACACTTTGAAACATATAAAGTATGAGGTTTGAAGAACGATATGAAGATATGTGAGCTGGCTATAATGGACAACTCCATGTTTGAGTAAGGACTGTCATGTTAGGGTTTTTTCCATTTATCTTTGCAAGAATATGCATTTATCAGATTATGCTAAGGATCAAATCGGAGCAACTAGCAGCAGTTTGATATAAGCAAAATATTAAAGAACCCTTCAAAATTCATCTACAACTAAATGCTAATACAGGAAGACACTGCTCAGGTGGAGGACCACCTAGATAAGTCATGGAAATACATGATTGGATGTTAATATGGAACATTGGAACATGGCTATAAAATGATGGGAAACTTTTTCTTTAAAAAAAAAAAAGCGTGTTTTTGTCTCCTGTTTCCAGGAGGACACTGTGAAAGTGTTTCACGTGAGGCTGCTAGCTTTAGTAAGCAGGATCACACACTGTGAAGGGATACAGTTTATGTGAAGTTTTATCAGACTGTTAAGTGCAATAAAAACTGGAGTGATTTGTTGAAAATGCTACGAACTGTTGATTATTCCTGGTTTAAAGTCAAAGGACAAGCACTCATCCCTCCTCACTTCATCATATTCGCCTCCATTCATTCACTGATTTATTCATTCTTTTGTTTGTTACTTTGTAAGTCTTCATTGCCATAGAGTTTGTCCTGTTCAACAGCAAAATCTGTTTACATGTTTTTGCAGTTGTAAATGAATATTTCTCTCCTCATACTTGTTTTCATCACCCTGTTTTCATAGTGTAACATCAGCTTTGAATAAATTTTGATGACTGCATTTTCAGCATTTAAATTACACAAAGACATTTGTGTTTATATGTAAATTTGTACCAGTACTTGTGGAATTGTTCTCTTCTGCTTTGTGTGCCAGACATACAGTATTTTACTTCCTTCATCATTCGTCATCTCTGTTTGTGTATCTGCAGTTGAGTCCAGGTATCATGAACACAGTACTAAAGGGCACCTTCAATGTGACACTCGACAACCCCCTGGGCCCCTGCTGCTCCCCTCGTGTGGCCCCTGGCCCTTTAAGGGCACATGAGACCATTAATGCTATTGCAACGCCCAACACCTTCATCGCTACCAGCACTTCTTAGTGTCAAAGTTGAAGGTCAAAGTTTACAGGTGAAAGGTGAGTGGGGTAAAAGGTCAATCTTAAGGTCATCACATTTCAATTCATATTCTGGTAAAAAGAAGAATCTTCATGAATATTTATGGTTATATCCATTGCTCTTGAATGTATAATAGATAGTGAGTGAGCTTATTTTCAATTATTGAATTGTAACTTTCCGAAGCTTTTTAAATAAATAAACAGAAATGTGCTTAGATCTAGATATTGCAATAAGTGTAATAAGTATTCCAGTTCAAAACAAGCTGTTTTTAGATTAATTTTGATAATGACAATCATCACTGAAGCATTATATAGCTTGTTTCTACTCTCTGACAGCTTTTGAAGCTTACTTAGTCTACTGCTTGTGTGTATGTGTTTGTGTGTGTGTGTGTGTGTGTGTTTCAAAGCCCAAATTTTGCTATCAGTAGATCCTGCCCTTGCAGTTAATTTTACACTGAATTTAGTAATTAGAGCAGCTAATAACTTGTGAATTTTTAAACCTAAAATTTATTGGAGCTTGATGACCACTGATTAAGTTATTTTCATTCATTTTTTTGACTGTGTCAGGCTGCAGTTTGGATGAAGATGGACTCTGCATCTCCAGCTGATGGTTCCCTCGTTCTTTACTTTTGCTAATGACAATCTTGGCACGCTGAATCAGCTGTTTTTGTGGATCACTTCCCTCTGTATACACCACTCTGTGAATCAATAACAATTAAAAAGCTATTAATATGAATACTGCCAGAAGTCTTTCGAACGCATGTTACTCTTAAAAGGAACATCTTATCCATAGGGTACTTAAAGCAGCAATAAAAATATCCAGTCTGATATAAATGAGACTAAATTTATGGTTTTGCTATCTGTATTTTACTGTACTGCTTGGATTGGCTAATGACAGGATAGCTGGGTGAAATAATCATATGTGTTAAGCTTGATTTGAACTCACACAGTCTCTATCTTAACATCCTGAGGCCAAGATCGTCCAAAATCATGTTTTATTTAATGACAAGGAACCAGTGCATGAGACAATTAGGAAGAAATGCTATCAGAATTCTTAAAGTTTCGTAGCCATACATTATTGCTTAGCATGCATAAATCATGGAGCCATTCATTATGTATATTTGTGCTGACCACCAGAGAAACAGGTGTGAAAGTCACATAGAAGACTCATAACTTATGTTCCAGTTTTGTTGTACACTGATATGCTTTGCTCATTAATCAAATTAGCCTCACCTTTTGTTTCAAACACATCCACATACCCATGCTGTACAATGTACAGGAACACACATCCAAACCAAGAGCAGCACCTGCATGTGAAAGTACACACATGAATTTTAGGTGTGATGGCTGACCTTTAGAGGCATTATTTGGTGCTTTCCATTTGGTTTTTTACTGTAGCAGAGCATGCAGAGGAGCAAAATATGAGAGTCAAGAGGAGGGGCGAGACAAACGTTTTGTAAAGCAGTGATGGAGGAAAATGAACCTTAAAGGAATAGTTTAATAGACATCTTGGGAAATTCACTTCCAAGCTAGAAATATAGAAGAGGGGATCAATACAAATCATACATGAAGCGGTATCAATCTTATCTTCTAACTCTCATCAAGAAATGTTGAAGTCTAGATTAGAAATTAAGAAACATTTGCCTCACTGTAATATGAAATACATCTTTTTAATTATACCTTTATTGATCTTTGTAAGATCAACTGACTGGGCGCACATAAGAGTTTTTCATTCGATTCAGAGACCTCTGAAATCTTAAGGTCTACCACTGCCCAATAGGGGATGAACAAACCTTGTTTAAAACAAGGACACTGATGTGTTTGAAAGTCAAGTTTTAAAGTTTAGAAAGCCTGAAAAAGGTTGCTTTAAGAGAGTGCACTGTATGTGAAAACAGCTGAGAGGTGAAGTGAAGTCCGTCCCCGAGCTTGTACATGTGGCATCAGAGAAGTTGAGTAGAGTGTTGGAGAAGATGGTTGTCTGTGACGAGGTGATGCAGGCGGTCCAAAGTGTCAGATAAACCATTTTACTGGCCGTTACCACTGGAGAGTGTTAGATTTATGCTCCTTTTCTCTGCTGATCAGGAACCGTAAATCAGCTATTCATGGCCATGAGTGAATGTGTGTGTTGTCAATCCTTAAAGACAAACAGAGAGGGAGCAAAATGTGTGAACAAGAAGTTTTCAAGCATCAACAGAAGATGCACAGATGACACTGCAGATCTTGTTGTTATGATTCTCTTTGGTCATATCTGATTTGATTTAACCTTTCCAATGAATAACCCCCCCCCCCAGCTATTCAAAATGTCGCTGTAAACGTTCAGAGTAACAGGTTCGATGGAGAACGATGTCTCTGATTGCTCCTGTGGGCCTTTTAGCCTAATGAGGTGTTTACCCCCTATCGTTATTCAGCTGGGAGCAGAGCAGAGGGAGACGGAGGGGTGAGAGGGATGGGGAGGGGGGGGGGGGGGGGGCAGTTTGGAGAAAAGATGGTAAGATATAGAGCAAAGTGGAGACAGAAGAAAGCAAAGAAAAAAATGGAGTGAAAAAGAGCCTAGTGGAAGATGGAGAAAAACAAGAGATAGTATATGGGCAGATGAAAGATCAGGGAGTAGAAAGAAAACAGGAGGCAAAGGAAGAAAGAAAGGCAGAGGGGAAGGGGGAAGAGCCTGGTGTTATTTATGCCTCCCTTGGTACTCGTCTTTACCTTTTTTTTTTTTCCCTGGGAGCTGTTTTACATCTGCGATCTAATTAAATCAAATAAATCACAGTGCACACACACACATACACACATACATACAAGTACACACAAAGCCACAACAACCCCTCCTGATTCTGGGATTGTGAACATCTCCTCCCACCAACTCCTCCACCCAAGATTGAATAAATCTCGATTATGGTGCATTACACGGCACATCATTCATGTTGTTTATAGGTCTAAAATATGCAAACAGACCAGGGGCATAAAAGTGATCGATGCTCAAATGGGCCCTTTTTTCTGTTCTGTTCTCATCTCTCACAGAACACCAAGCACCGTCACTTACACATGTCTTGTGTGGGATGAAGACATATTGTACTGTGTCCTTACACTGTCCCCTCATGATGGCTATTTATATTGTCTTTGTGCCCAAGCATCCAAAAGGAAGGATTTTTATTATCTCATTTACTAAAGCGCTCTGTCTCTGCTGCTGAGCCATTATTAAATCTAATTAGCTCTGCCAAACCTTGAAGCTGTCCCTGAGAGATCTCTTGATAATTGTAAAATAGAGGTAAGCTGATCAGTGTTTTTACTGGTTACATTGGGACTCTAATACATGAAATACATGCAAATAAGTAGCAGCTGCTAGAGCTGCAGTTTGTTTCCAGGACATAATTGTTTGGGCATGTGTTGTCCAAATATGTTGTTAGGAAATGCATAATTTTTTTGGCCCAATTAAGCATGAAATTAATATTCATATTCCATGATAATCATAGTTTTGTAAAGGCACAATATTTTAACTGTTAATATTTCATTTAAAGACAAAGCACAGATCTCTGTGTAACTCCATGATTGTAATGGGTTTATTAGATTCTGTCTTTTTATCTTCCTCTTGACATATTGTTAAGGATAAAGGTTTTATTCCCAGCAAATAATAGTTGGTTTTTATATCAAAGTATCCAATGATTTATATTCGGTTTCAAATTACATATGCATTTTAATGCTATGACAACAGCAGCTGTTGAGTTTGAAGATGCAACTGTAGAGTCTTGTTGTGATAATTTAATGTTTGTAACTAAAGTTATTTAATTTTGACATTTTTTCTTACTGTAAGCAGTATTGTACTTGTTCACCTTCAAAATCTAGAGTATATTAAAAAAGAAAAAAAATCTAAAAATGATTTCTGATGTCATGTCCTACTTTTAGAAAATACAATCTTGCATTGAATTTTGCTTTTGTTCTGGTTTGGGGGTTTGTTTGTTTTTTAAAGTAACTTCAAATCCAGCTTCACAATAAAAAAAAAAGTTACGATACATACAGTGAATTTTGAAAATATTTTAATCGTCATCCACCTTTATCTTATCTATAGTTACTATATTGGCAGGTACTATAGTATAGTACCTGCCAATATACTGAGAATATGATACATTGGCAGTGTCTGTGGATGTTTTGAAGCTTTTTTCCACCATGACTGAGCCCAGGTCATTGTACACACAAGTATTTCTCTATTAAAAGTGAAAGTCATTGGTGAAACTCACCAGAGGTCAAACTAGTTTTATCAATCCTCTGCTGACCTTAAAACTCATTTCGTCAATACATGTAAATCTAAAGTGCTATATTTAGCCACAATCATCTTGACATGACAGCTACACGCTCGCAAATACAGCTTGGTGGAAAACCAGATTAGCCGGTGTCTTTAATTAAAGGAGATGTACAGTAGTGCAGAAGAATCAATGAGGAGGTTAACAAGTGCTGACAAGGGCAGAGGAGACAGCGAGGCTTCATTTAGATACAATGAGAAGAGTGAGTGAGACACGGTTACTATCCAGTGGCAACTGCTCCCTGCTTCTATCCACCTTCAGTCCCAGACCTGCTGTGGATAATTCTTTCCTTAATGTAGTGCACAAGGGCATAATGGGCACCTCATGTTTTGAGACTTGTCCGATTTGAAGCTGTTTGAAGCATAGATTTACCACTTTTATGGAAAGTATGACTTGTTAAGATGTTCGACAATTCAATAGAGCTGTATAGAACAAATAGAACCTCAGACAGCTTCTCTGGACTGTTTAACGATTAAAAACATTGTACAAGACACTGCAAGGGGAGTGGAGATGGTTAATTCATTCATTTTACTGCTCGCACTTTTACAACTCATCCTGGAAATCAAACCAGTGAATATTAAACAGTAGATTTGATAATAAAGGCTGTCATAAAAGCCTGTCTTTTCAGATGATGGTTCCAGAAGTGCCCTTTCTGACCGTTCAAGATCTGTAATCTTCAATTTGAAACTAA